TAATTTAGGGAATGATCATGGATTTATAATCTAAGAATACACTCTCCATTGATATGAGGTCTTTGGGGAAGCCCAAAGCAAAGTCATGAGAGCTTATGTTCAAAATGGACAATATCATACCATTGTAGAGAGTCGTGTTCCTCTAATAAGGACCATTAGTGGCATCCACATGTGCGAGTATGGATCCACCAGTCGGCTAGCACATCTCTTGGGCTCCTTTTGTAACGGCCAGTAATTAAATTTTTTTTTTTGGCCTAGTTGCGGGAAAAGGCGCCTGAATTCCGGTGAGGCACTGAAATTCTCACAACCTCCGTCATACACGCTCCCCCGATGCCCACAACTCGTGAACCATCTTTAGTCACCCTCCAGAAACACTCCTACATGAGAAAAGAGTGAGTAACAAAGAGAGAAAGGGAGAAAACGAAAGGGTGTGTTTTTCCAACGAGCATACAGGCATACAGGCGACACTATGAATCAATCATAACGTTCAATAGAGGCATGTTTCCAGCATAAGAATCGACGATCATCAAGCACATATACACAAAAGGTATTTTGATAACCAACTTTTTATACATTTTGAGATATAATATGTGAGATCTTATATCGGTTGGGGAGGAGAATGAAACATTCTTTACAATTGTGTAAAAACCCCTCCATAACATATGGATTTTAAAAACCTTGAGAGGAATCTTGAAAGGGGAAAACCCAAAGACAACAATATTTGCTAGTAGTGGGGTTGGGCTGTTACAAATGGTATCAGCCCTGAAGGGGGTGGACTCGCCAACGAGGACGCTGGGACCCAAAGGGGACGGTTGTGAGATCTCATATCTGTTGAAGAGAGGAAGAGAAGGAGAACATGGACACGAGGTGGTGTGCCAGTAAGGACGTAAGGACTTCGGGGTGGATTGTAAAATTACAAGGGTGTGGGGGGCCTTAGAGAAGGGAACGATGTCCTTGTTGGGGCGGATTGTGAGATTACAAGGGTGTGGGGGGTCTTAGAGAAGGGACGGTGTCCTTGCTGGGGTGGAAGCATTTCTCTCTCAGATAAAGGTTTTGAACCTAAAGACCTATGGGTTATGGGCCCACCTTGCTTTCGCTACACCACTCTACTTTTTTAGAAAAGAGGATGAGCTAGTGTGATCTGTGCTCTCGGGTGATTGATGGATGTTATCTCCCATTGAGCTTGTTTGCTTGTATTGTGCATGATACAGTATGTGTTAGCTCTAGATGTTTGACTGTGTGTTCTCCCTATGAAACGTGTTTATCTACACTGATCTAGGGTATTAGAGTAAGCTTGGTTAGACGATGACCTAGGTCAGGATGCCTCGAGGGGTCAGAGTAGAATAACATGGAGTCACAAGCTCGATTAAGCCACCTAGCTGGCTTAGGAATCCAATAAACCTCCTCAGCTCCCAGATATGATCAAGAAACGTTTTAAAATCATGAGACTAACAACGATACATAACAAAGTGGACAATATCTACTAGCGATGAATTTGAGATGTTATAAAAAATAAAAAAATAAATAAATAAATAGTCAAGATGGTTAAGGTGCCTACTAGTTTGAAAGGGCATGGGTTCAAATCTCATTTTTGAAAAGATTTTTATATTGTGAAATCGTACATTGGTTGGAGAGGTACAAACATGAGGCTAATGGTGATATGTAACAGGCTAAAATGAACCACATTTAAAAATCGTGAGGCTGACGATGATATATAATAGGCTAAAACGAACCACATTTAAAAATGAACCACATTTAAAAATCGTGAGGCGGCTAAAACGAACCACATTTAAAAATCGTGAGGCTGACGATGATATATAATAGGCTAAAATGAACCACATTTAAAAACCGTGAGGCTGACACGGTTGACGATGATATGTAATAGGCTAAAACGAACAACATTTAACATTTAAAAACCGTGAGGTTGACGATATGTAATAGGCTAAAACAAAAATCATTTAAAAATCGTGAGGATATGTAACGGTTGGGTGTTGGGTTTTATGTCCTAAAACTCATAGTTTGTAAACAAAAACATATTCTAACGGTTGGGTGTTGGGTTTTATGTCATAAAACTCATAGTTTGTAAACAAAAACATATTCTATTTTCAATAAAGTTATTATGGTTGTTTATTCAGTAAAGATTGTTATTGAATAAAGTGAACTTTACTATCAATAATCTAAATCCAATAAACGAAGAACACTCTGGCTATAGTATGATTACTTGAACTATATGTAGAGACATAAGAGTTGATCAAGTTCAAGTATATAGTCAAAATGATCTATAGTATAAGGATAAGACTAAATACCTTATTCTAGGGACACTATGGATGCGGCCCACTTTTGTATATGATATAAACAATGTGATCACTAAGATTGTATATGTGGAGACATGTGAGTGGGAGCGTCCTATGCAATGAGTATTGCATAAGATCGGACCATGAAGAAAATCACTCTCACTTTATAATGTCGTTTACTGTTGAGGCTGATTTTCTTTTCATTTGATGACCTAGGTAATTCGATCTTAATCCTGAGCTAACCATGAACTCCTTTTTATTCAGAATTATCCTTAGATTTGCATGGGTGAAAATGGCTCAAGTTTGCCGACTCAATAGGCCTCCCATTTCATGGGTAAGACTGGGTAAATGGGTGGGGACATGGAGTGCAAGATGGAATTCACTCCTACCCACTAAAGTGGGATAGAAGAGAGGTAGTTCCCTTAAGTACTGACTTCAGGTCTTGAACAAGGGCCCCATCCTCTCATTGGCCTGAGAGAGATTCAGTTTACTGGTTGGACCACAAACCAATTGTTCATTAGAGGATCAATGAGACATAAAAAACAAGAAGTAACTTCAGGAGTAAAACGGTAAATTGACCTAGCTCTAGTTACAAACAACCTGTGAATGATCGACTTACTAATCATGGTTATATCAAATGGACAGAAATATATCTATAGTGAGGGGAGTGCAACTACTAGGCTATAGTGGAATGTCGTAGTAGTTAACGAATGTTGGTTAACAAAGTTAATGAGTTTAACCAGTTAATCTTGGATCGTTGGAGCCCATGATCTATAGGTCCATTAGGTTCCTCTGCTAGCTCATATCGGACTAAATCATAGAACAGTGTGACGAGTGAGTTCGAAGTGTTCGAATTCAAATTAGGGAGAATGCGCTACATATATACGATATATTTAACCGCATTTTTGTTTTATTTACGAATTAAATAAAAAGAAAGAATCTGAGATATTTAAATAAGTCTTAATCAAATATGTGTTGGAATTAATTGGGATTGACATTTGAATTAATATTAAATATTAATTAAATAGTTTAATTAATCATTTAATATTACTTTAATTTGAAATTAATAATTCAAATGGATGGTTGAATCAAAATGAAGAAAGTCAAAAAGTTGACTTCATTTAATGGAAAAATCCCTCTCTTCATATATACAAAATCCCTCCCAAGTTTAGTCACTCATTGGATTCCACAATCCCGTTCTAAGGCTGGAGGATAGTGGAGAAGACACTAGTGGTGGTTCGAAACCGGTTCGTGAGGAAAAAGGAATTTGAACTACAAAAGGTTAGCATTCAAATTCATTACGTTTTAATACTTATGAACATGCTAGTTATTTACTATAATTGATGTTCTAAAAGTGCCTAAGATTCAAATTGCTTCCGCATGTGTTATATTAACACCATCAGTAACAGGCTAGAGTAGACGATGATACATGTGGGAATCTCAATTTGGTTAGAGTAGTATTAGAGCAAGCACACAACGTGGGAATCTCACAATCTACCCCCTGAACCTAGCGTTCTCGTTTGCACTCGTTCCTTTTTCCAATTAACATCCCTCCACCCCTTTCAGGGCCTAGCGTTCCACCCCTTTCAAGGCCCTAGCGCTCGTTCTCTTTTCCAATCAACGTGGGATCCCCAAATCCACCTTCCTTTGAGCCTAATGTCCTTGCTGGCACACTGCCTCATGTCCACTCCCTTCGGGGCTCAGCCTTTTCACTAACATATTGTCTGGTGTCTAACTCTGATACCATTTGTAACAACCTAATCTCACCGCTTGCAAATATTGTCCTATTTGGGCTTAACATCCCTCCACTCCTTTTAGGGCCTAGCGTTTCACCCCTTTCAAGGCCCTAGCGCTTGTTCCCTTTTCCAATCAACGTGGGATCCCCAAATCCACCATCCTTTGGGCCTAATGTTCTTGCTGGCACACTGTCTCATGTCTACTCCCTTCGAGGCTCAGCCTTTTCACTGACATATTGTCTGGTGTCTAACTCTGATACCATTTGTAACAACCTTTCGGGGCTCAGCATTTTCACTGACATATCGTCTGGTGTCTAACTCTGATACCATTTGTAACAACCTAATCTCACCGCTTGCAAATATTGTCCTATTTGGGCTTAACATCCCTCCACTCCTTTCAGGGCCTAGCGTTTCACCCCTTTCAAGGCCCTAGCGCTTGTTCCCTTTTCCAATCAACGTGGGATCCCCAAATTCACCTTCCTTTGGGCCTAATGTTCTTGCTGTCACACTGCCTCATGTCTACTCCCTTCGAGGCTCAGCCTTTTCACTGACACATTGTCTAGTGTCTAACTCTGATACCATTTGTAACAACCTAATCTCATCGCTTGCAAATATTGTCCTTTTTGGGCTTTCCCTTTCGGGCTCCCCTTAAGATTTTTAAAACGCCTCTACTAGGGAGAGGTTTCGACACCTTTATAAAAAGATGTTTAGTTCTCCACTTTAACCCATGTGGCATCTTTAAATATATACATATACATATATATTAAAATTAGGCATCACGCATCACCTTATTTTCCTAAATCAAATTTTTTTAATACATGTATCCTAATTTTTTATTTTATACATGTCACATATTTTCATTGATAGTCGGTTCAAACAGACCGAACCGGACGAACCGGCCGAACCGAGAGGAAGGGGCAACTTCCCGCCTAAACTTCCTATCTTGCCCCATTCTGTCAGTAGACTCCCGCCATTTCTGTTCCTAATTATATTTGTGTCTGCGGCGTCGAATCCCAGTGCTCCAATTTTCCGATCGAACTTCATAATCTGTTTCCACTGCGATTCATTATCCTATTAGGTCTTGTTTTGATTTTGGTTTAAATTTTCCTTCGCCGCTTCGATTGTGCAGTAGTATACAGAGTGCTGTGGCGAAAATGGTTCATGAAGCGGCTGATATGGTAATTGACGGGAACGAACAGAAGCCGAAGAACATTGTTTCTAATGGATTCGATGCGAATTATCTCAAAATTTACTACGGTGCACCATTTATACCTTTTTCGATTTTTTTAGAAATTTCTGTGTTGAATTGAATTGTCCCATCAAATTTAGTTAACTTGTCTGTTCTGTGTTTTTTCTGCTACTGAAAGGATATGAAATGTGATTGTTGTAGGCAAGCTTTTTCCTTTTGCTGATTTTTTCAAATGGATGTCTTATGGAAATGGTAAGCCCTTGATTCTTGGAATCAGAAACAAAATGTTATCCCCTCAGAAGAAGCTAATTAATATTGAATATGCAAATTTCCTGCCTAATGTGGTTGTAGATGGCAAGCATCCAGGCAGTGACCATTCTTATGTTGGCCGGAGAGAATTTTCATTCACCTTGGATAATGATATTTATCTACGGTTTCAATCTTTCAACAGTTTATCTGAAATGGAAAGTTCGACCAAGGAAAAATGTCCATTTAAAATTGATATTGGGCCTGTATACAGCGTGGATGTAAGCAAAAAATTTCCCTGTTGCTCTTTTTTCATAATTTGGTATTAAGTAATCAGATTTGTTTCAAGAAGTGAAGGCTTCAAACATTTTGGATACTTGTTTTTGTGTATTATTTATTTGAATGAGCCTTTTTCTTTTTTGTAATATTCATCTGTCTCTCACACATTTCAACTATTCTGCTTCAGCCTGCAAAGAGACACGCATATGCTGGTGCTAATGTATTTACTCCAGTGGAGAGAGAGCTAGTTTTTGATATTGTAAGCAGATTGTTTGTTAATATGCTCGGTATTCTAATTTAATTATGAAATCCTTTTCGTTGAGAAACTAATCGTGGAAATTCCTCCATATGTAGGATATGACCGATTATGATGATGTTAGATATTGTTGTTCTGGAGCTGATGTTTGCTTGGATTGCTGGCCTTTAATGACTGCTGCGATCAAAGTGATTGATACTACCCTCCGAGGTAAGAAACTCGTTATCTGTATCTAAAAAGTCATTCAAGAAATGAGTATGATTGCATGCATTCTCACAAACTCTTATTTTGAAAATGAATAAGCACAAGGAAGGTTGTGTGAGATCCCACATCGGTTAGGGAGGAGAACGAAGCATTTTTTATAAGGGTTTGGAAACCTCTCCCTACCGGACACGTTTTAAAAACCTTGAGGGGAAGCCCGGAGGGGAAAGCCCAAAGAGGATAATATCTGCTAGCAGTGGGCTTGGGTTGTTACAAATAGTATCAGAGTCAGATACCGGGCGATGTGTCAGCAAGGAGGTTGAGCGTCGAAGGGGATGGACATAAGGCGGTGTGCTAGCAAGGACGCTGGGCCTCGAAGGGGGGTGAATTGAGGGTCCCACATCGACTGGAGAAGGGAACGAGTGCTAGCAAGGACACTGGCCCCAAAGGGGGTGGATTGTGAGATCCCACATCGGTTGGAGATGAGAACGAAACATTCTTAATAAGGGTTTTGAAACCTCTCCCTAGCAGACACGTTTTAAAAACCTTGCGGGAAAGCCTAAAAGGGAAAATCAAAATAGGACAATATCGGCTAGCATAGGCTTGGGTCGTCACAGTTTGTATGTCAATGAATGTTAGCTCGCTTTAGAGAAATCACTTACCTTCTTGGTAGTTTCCCCTCCCTGACCCGATGCTTAAGCCTATTTCTTTTTTCACTTTTATTGCGAATGAGATGTTCCATATTTTGAGCTCTTTAGTGTACTTCTTTTTAACTTATTTCTAAATTCTTACTTCAACATATTTGACTAGAAGAGAAGGAGGAAGTAGAATGTGTAAAAGGTGTTATGCATTCTAAAAAATTCAGATTATTAATTACTGGCTTACTGTCAGTTCTGTTCTGTATTACTACTCTGTCTCCTGTAGCCAGTTATATTTGCAATGCTTATGTTTATTTAAATATGTCCATACATTGAGCCTCACAACAATTTTTTAGAAGATATTTTAAAAAATATGGTACTGTGATATTGTCCAATGCATCTGAGAATTAAGTTTTCCATTGCAGTCCTATGATATCTTGAAATTTGTGTTGCAGATGACTTCGGATTTAACCACATTCTGTGGGTATTTAGTGGTCGACGTGGTGTTCATTGTTGGGTCTGTGATGGCAAAGCAAGAAGGTAAAGCTAGTAATCAAATTGTTGAAATTACAGTCAAATATATTATTTGCAAATGTCTAAAATTGCCACCATCACTCCTGCAGGTTGTCTAATGAACAGCGAGCTGCCATTGCTGACTATTTCCATTTATATCAGGTTATACTATGTTGCTATAAAATATTGGTGAATTTTAGTGTCTTGAGCTATGGTGTTGAATATGTTTGATGTGCAGGGTAATGAAAATAGTCGCAAGAAAATTTCTCTAACGGGTCCGGTTCTTCATCCATTTCTCGCGTAAGTGGTTCTTAATGATGTGATGATTCGGTCACTTTTTTTTTCTCTCAGCTAACTTATGTATTTTGTTCCAGGAGATCATATATAGAAGTTCTCAAGGATAGCTTTGAATCAAAATTGCTTTGTAGTCAAAAGATTTTCTCAACTGAGGAGAGATATGAGAAAATACTAGATATGATTCATGATGAATGTAAGTGATTTATGTATTTGTCTCAGGTAAGTACTGTCAATATGATAATCTATACTAATAGAGTTTCTCCTGCAGCCATTACCTCGGAGCTTCGGGGAAGGTGGCAAGATAATAGGCGACCTTCTAAAAATGATGTTAATTTAGTAAGATGGGAGCAACTAAAAAATATGTTGCAATCAGGGAAACATAAGGTAGAATCAACATCTTTCTCATACTTGCAAGAAATTACTCTCCTGTTTATGCTTTCGTTTTTCCAACGCAACTTACCAATCAGGGGAGGGATAGCCATTAGACAACTTACCAATCAGGGGAGGGATAGCCATTAGACAACTTACCAATCAGGGGAGGGATAGCCATAGGGAAGCAAACATAGGTTTTGAGCTTGAGGAAGAAAAAGGAGCTACTATTTTCTAAAGGACTTAACCAAGCTAGAGCTACAAAATGTTCTAAGGACTTCACTCAACAGTCAAAAGCCCCCTTCCCCCTCTGAAGTCAGTTCTCCCTCTTACCTTTTGTCCTCATATACCAAGTTCTTAAAAGCTTTAACTGATATCCTCTACCCTTCCCCAGAAATCCAGCCTAATTGTCAAAGCAGCTTTCTGCCGTAGGTCTCACATTTATGGTCGATCACTCTCATCTTTCTTCGGGTAAAGGGCCCCCTATTAAAACCATTGTCCAATCAACAAACCCATCTGCCCTGTTCTCTACCAAAGATTAAAAAAGAGTTTATTTCTCTAACTCCAAAGTTTCCATGAAAATTTTCTTTGCAAATGGCATGAAACACTTCACCTCCTTGGACAGTCATCCTTGTATCAGACTTGATAGACCTCTCAAACCCTTTTCTAGTGAAGGGACAACATTTAAGAGAATGTAAGAAGTATTTTAATACGATAGGCACCGTTGAGTTGGAATAGAAATTGTATTTTAAATTGCAGAACGATAAATACAATAAAATATATGAGGTAACTCGAAGAACTTGTATACCTCCTTTTGGAGCAAGCATAACCCCAAACATATAAACGGTGGTTTGCTTTCACTCCCTCTCACTTCATTCAGAATCTCTTCTTGATAATGAACTTATTAGCCAATGACTAATATGCCCTTAGTACCCTAAGAATATTTATCTTCCTTTACGGAGAATAGTTGTGAGATCTCAAATCGATTGAGGAGGAGAACGAAGCATTCTTTATAAGGGTGTGGAAACCTCTCTCTAACATACAGTTTTAAAAACCTTGAAGGGAAGTTCAAAAGGGAAAGTTCAAAGAGGACAATATCTACTAACGGTGGGTTTGGACTATCGTGCTATTGGTTAGGCTGGGTTTTTGCAGTTTTATGGGGCATCTGGATTCAAATGAATAATAGAATATTTTGGGACATGATAAGATCTCTAGAGGAGGTTTGTCCTTATCTTCATTTAACGTCTTGGTCTGGGTGATTGGGTCTAAAGACGTCTGTAATTATTTATTAGGTTTTCTTTCTTTTTTTTCTTTTTTTTGGAATGGATCTCTTTTCTGGCTCCTTTTGGTTTGCCTCTTTTGTAAGTCCGTTTTTTGTTGGCTCGTGTTGCAAGCCTTTGGCTCTTCTCTATTCTTTCAGTTTTTTCAATTCAAGGTTGATTTTTTTTTTTAATTTTTTTTTTTATATTATTTAGACTGATACAAACGTATATATTTCAAGATTTATCATGTGGAATCCAAGTAACTGTGATCTTTATTTTTAGTTGCCTTTTCTAAAGAATCTATCTCCCTTTTCCCTTTTCTTTCTTTCTTTCCAGTCATGCGGCTAGATGTGACTTGGTGCTACATTTTATTTTCTTTTCTTTTCGAGTCTTCTATGTTGAGTTTAGGAAGTGTAAAGTTCAATTGTGCTACATTTAGACAGTAACTGTGACATTTTCCTTTGTTCAGTCACAAGGAATGCGTCGGCACGTTGAAGAGATCGTTTTCTCTTTTACCTACCCTAGGCTTGACTTGGAGGTACGTTTCTTACATGACTTTATCTTAACTAGATTTTTTTTCTCCATTTACTGGAATTAGGTCAATCTATTCTAGCAATTTGATTAGGTACATTTTCGATCTCTAATTGGCATGCATAGGGATTGCAACCAAAATTTCTAATTTACTTGTTAAAGCTGATTTTCGTTTACTCCCTTGATGAGGCAAGTTCTTTATTCTTCAGGTTACTAAACACATGAACCATCTGCTAAAAGCACCATTCTGTGTTCATCCCAAAACAGGTCAGTGTTGGAACTAAATGCTAATACTAGATGAGTTTTGATTTGCCAAAACCTCAATGTGGTCTCAATCTAAAATTAAATTCTTTAAGGTTCATATCAAAAAATATTTAAAGAATTCATTAAAATGCACTTGATTTGGAATCCTGCAAGTAATTTGGGTAGTAGTATGAAGGATGCAATGTTTTCACTTTTGTGAAGCGAAAATGTGTTTACATATTATTGAATCTTACTGTACTGTACCTTTTTATTCCAGGTCGTATCTGTGTCCCGATCGACCCTGAACGCTGTGATGAGTTTGATCCTACTACTGTGCCAACTGTTGCCCAGGTAAAACAACAAGAAATAAAGGGATATAATATACATACTATGTCTTTGCCAACTGATTTGCAGCGAGGAAAATGTTCAATTTTCAATTTAGTACCTGAAATTTGTCGTAGTTAGTGTTAGGATCACACAACAACGCACACACTCGATCTAGATAGACACAACGAACAGAAGTCGATATAGATGAACACAAAGAACATGAAAGAGAAAATGCAAGAAGTAATATTGGCTAAAAGTTTATATTGATGGTTTGACGTATGTATGTAGATAATACAAAAACAAAAAGGCAGAAAATACATTTTAAAAGAACCGAGTATATATATGGTTCAGTTTACTATATATAGCTATATAACTATCATATATAACTGTATTTCTTATATTTATATATATAGCTATATAACCATCTACTGTATATAACTATACTATAAATAGACCATTTTTCATAGTTTTAGTAGAACCATTGAATAAATATCTACTATATATATAGCTTTACCAGCTTTATGCATTAGAGCTGAAGAAAGACGATAAATATGTGTATAGATCAACCGTGATATACAGCAATTGTATAATTATGCTTGATGCTAATTTGGCTTCTGATCAATGACTTGAATTATAATAATGATTGCAGCTCCTAGAAGAACTTAATGCAGCAGACATGGAAGTAGATAGTGAGACTGGTAAGTTTTATGCAATCTTCACTATAGATTCGAGAAGCTCCTACTTTATTTGCTTGGGTAGCTGCGAGATTAACTAATGCCTGTTATAAACTTTTTGCTTTATGACAGACTGGGATAGAACCTCACTTGGGGAATCGATTAGGTTTTTCAGATCGGCATTCTTACAGCCATTACTGAAATCATGCAAGGTAATTCTTTCTTAATATATGGAGAGAATATCCGACCTTCCAAGTTTTAGATCATCATTCTTGTAGGCTCTAAATTGTACAGGGTAATTATTAGTCTATTAGAAGAACTAGGCTACTAATTATATAGCTTTATAGTTTGTTTGCTTGCTTGCTTGTGGTTTGATTCTGTAAAATGTGTAGTTTATTCGTGGTGGCGTACCTTGATAGACTCTCTTTTAGAAGGTTTGGTAGTTTGTACCTTTTCAAATATCAATGCAAAATTTGTTCCTTTGTAAAAAGAAAAGGTTAAAGGTTGAAGCTAGGCTACTTAGGTAGAACTACGTTCATATTTTCTTGCATCATTTTCTGGAATAACCACATTATTTTTATTTTTTCAGTACGAAATTGAGCTTACTTTGAGAAAAATAAAGAATATATGAGGGCATACAAAAAATCTAGCTCACAGAAGGATCATCAACTACAAGAACGAACTGTTTAACACAACTATTTGTGGAAAACACTCGCACTCTTTATTAACACCAATCGAGAAGAGATTATAAGAAACTCTTTAGAATACTATTCCCACTAAGCCTGTCTGGGACTTGTTGGGATGAAAACCTAGATAGGGTAAATGGGTACTTTTCTCTAATTGAGACTGCTCGGGACTTATTTGGATGAAAACTTAGGTAGGGTAGAGGGGTACTTTGCTTGGGAGGGAGTCTCACATTGGCTATTTAAGGGGATGATGATGGGTTTATAAGTAAGGACTACTATCTCTTTTGGTTTGAGGCCTTTTGGAGAAACCAAAAGTAAAGTCACGAGAGTTTATGCTCAAAGTGGACAATATCATATAATTGTGGAGAGTCGTGGTTCCTAATACCAAAGTCCCTATTACATACCATGAAAACCCCAAACAATCTAAAGCAGCGACATTATTATTTAGTTATAGGCTGCATTTTAACCGTCTTGAGCTTGTTATATATGTCCGATTGGAATTTGTCTAAGTTGTACCTTATGGATATGGCCATCTTCTATTAGGGATTTTTTCTACTGCTATATGGCAAAAGTACAGGGAGGCACTGAGGTTGGCTTACAAGATATTGTAACCTCTTCCTTTTGCATTTCATGCTTTACATGTTTGAATGATATAGACTTATGTAGCTAAAACGTAGGGTCTGCGACACCTTTTACCCTCTTCTTTTAACGCTCAACATGCTTTACATGCACGAATGTTGTATCTTTCGTGAGATAGAGCTCTCAGCCATGATTCTTGTTTCTTGCAGGAGGAGATAGAATCTTCATACAATGCTAAAGTTCAACAGTCGAAGAATCCTCTGAGTTGGTAGAGAGCTATATTAAGTAAGCACACCCTTTTTTAGCTTCTAGAAGTGTTCCATACTCTTCTGCAAAATCTTAAAACTGCAGTGTAAATATAACCAGAGGTAACTTAATTATGTTGAAAGGATTTCTCTGTATATGTAATGTTTGGCTAATTTATTGACATGAGGCTAAAAGACTTGACAGATTATTTTCATTTCTATTATAGTTTGCTGGGGAACTCATGCTTGTTTCTTTGGGTGTTCTGATGATTTACATTTGATGGTTTAAGGCTCGTTTAATACTAAGGTGATTTTCTTTCTTTTTATATATATATATGGGTCCATTCAGCATTTCCACGATATTGTTATGATCAATTAAGAGCCCATGACCTTTTTAGGTTTCTTGTCGTAGTTATTTTGCTGATGGATCAATTATCAATCTTTATTTGATCCCCCATGGCAATGATCCCATTATTTTGATTCTATATGTTCATTAGAAAAATGAACTAAAAGTTGTTGGAGGAAAGTCCCACCTCGGCTAATTTAGGGAATGATCATTCGTTTATAATCAAGGAATACTATTTTCATTGGTGTGGTGTGAGGCATTTTAAGGAAGCTTAAAGCAAAGACATGAAAGCTTATGTTCAAAGTGAGAGTCGTGTTCATCTAACATGGTATTAGAGTCATGTCCTAAACTTAGCCATGTCAATAGATAGATTGACAAATCCTCAAATGTCGAGCAAAGTATTGTGAGCCTCGAAGGCATAGTCAAAAAGTGGCTAAAGTATCGAACAAAGGGTGCACTTTGTTCAAAGACTCCAAAAGTATATAAAAAATGAGTCGAATTAAGGGGAGACATACTTTGTTCGAGGGGATTATCTCAGGTTTCTTGGGGAAGTTCAAAGCAAAACCAAAACACTTTTTTATGACTTCGACTCATGTTATATAACTATTACTATACATAACATTTTATATGGTCCCGTCTTCTTCGTATCAAAACTAAATCTCGATCTTGCTTTGTAAGTTTCTCATTTTAAATTTATTTAGAATTAAATTAAAAGAAAACTTACATTAAAGTAAATATGAACAAAAGTTTTTGGAGAATCCAACTAGATCTATTTTGGAAAATTCTTTCTCAAGTTTATGAACAGACTTGCGATTGTGCGGCACTCACTTCCTAGCAACAAGTGAGTTAAGCCTATTGGTTCTTGTATCGCCTACAACCAAGTGACGTATGCTCGAGCTTCTGGCTCCGGTTCAAGAAAGTTTTAAAAAACGGAGGCAGAGTGATTTCGAAAGAAAGTTTTGAAAGCAAAAAGTAACAACGGCTATGGGTTTGGGGGATATGACTATGAACGAATATGTCTTTCTTAAGATGTGCTAAATGATCATTTGACTCAACCCAATAATTCTATTTATAAAATGATTTTTTTTTTCAAATCTAAAATAATATATTTTTATATTTAAATCATATTTAAACATCATAAAATATCTCAACATATATTTAACCCATTTGAATTTTATTAAAACTTTAAATATATATTTTTATTTAATATATTATTAATTATTTAATTTTAATGTATTAAAAGCAATAAATATATTCTTTTATTTTTATATTTAATATATATATAATACACTAAATATTAATTTAAACCCGTCAAATTAAAAATAATTTTCTCATTTTATACTGAATATATCTAATATAATATAATTTGAACATTAAAAGAAAATTCAACTAAATTGATTTTTTTAGTGTTATTAAAGTCGATCTTAAAAAAATATCTATTTGAATCTTCAACTTGCATTCAACGTCCTTTCTCGATTGATTTGTTTGTGCATAAATAGATAACACGACATTTTCAAATTAATTTAATGTCGATATCGCAAGAATCAATGACTCTGTGATAATGAAGAAAGCTATCACGATAAACCTGATAATTTTACATTGTCAGATGTATCGAATAAACTATACGAGTATTTTACAATCTATGGCTCAACCCAACGTTCATATTTATAATTATTTATTAAATTTTTTTTTGTATATATATTTATATATTTTTAAATCATATATAAATAAAATATCTTGTATTTAATCGATTTAATCCCATGGTTTATGTGAAATCCCACATGAAAATGACATGGATTGGATAGGGAAACGAACTCCAGTGAGAACGCTGACATCGAAAGAGGTGGATTGTGAGATCTCACATAAGTTGGAGAGGGGAACGAAATATTCTTTTATAAGGGTATGAAAACCTATCCTTAGTAGACGCGTTTTAAAAATGGGAATCCCGAAAGAGAAATCCCAAAGATGACAATATCTATTAGTAGTGGGGTTGGGTTGTTACAAATAGTATCAAAGCCAGACATTAGGCGGTGTGCCAGTGAGGATGATGGGCCCCGAAGGGGATGGATTGTGAGATCTCACACCGATTGGAGAGGGGAATGACATTGATTGGTGAGGAGAACGAGTGCCAACAAGGACGCTAGGTGTCACAATTGTGGTTTCTAGGCAGCGGATTTGGCGATTGTGCGGCACCCACTCTCAACATTTAGGGGGTCAAAGCCTAGTTCGAGTTACGTTGCCTGCGGTCGGGCAACGTGAATACAAATCTCGGGTCTCGATTTCAAGAGAAGATTTTAGAAAGCTGGGGGAGAGGTTTTGGAAAGAGAGTCTTGAAAGCAAGAGAGAGAAATTAAAATGGGTGTTATATGGGAATGTAAGCAAAAGGCAACAACAACAGCTCACTGCATATAACTATCGGGTACGGAGAAGTTGACAACTAGTCATATCTTCCTATAGTACATTTTGAGGCATTTCATGTCTACCAGGCGTAGCCATGACATCGTCGAAACGTCATACTCTTAAAGAAAACAAGAAAGAAATAATAGAACATGAAAGCGGTAAAAGAAAGCAATAAAGTAGTATAAGGCAAAGGTTTCAGCGTGTCACGAGTATACGGTCATGAGCAACATGCTTTGGACAAGCATAACTGTGACACTAAGCCTCGAAGGGGGTGAATTGTGAGATCCCACATCGATTATGAGTGTGGAAACCTCTCCCTAACAGACAACGATTTAAAAATCTGGAGGGAAACCAAAGAGAACAATATCTGCTAGTAGTGGGCTTGGACTCTTACATGCTCGTAATTATATCTAGATAAAAAGTCTGGTTTATCTCTCTAATTGCATCTTATACCTTATTTATCACGGGTCCTCTAATGAACATTTTTTTTTTAATGATTCAACCATAAACTAAGTTTCTCGAGTTTGTGAGAAGGTAGACCTATCAAGTCTCGAAATCAGCACTTCAAAGAACTACTCATCTATTTACCCTACATGAGAATGAGTAAATTAACTCGTAGATTACGTTTATAACTCTCTATTTGGTCAAGTCTACAAAACGATAGATATATTGAATCGGCTACAAAAGTCATTCTCACCCATATCAATAAAATTAAAAAAAAAAAAAAAAAAACCCTCGTAAACAGGAGTGTGTAATGACTCAGGATTAAGACCGAGTCACATATAATCATTTAGTGACAAATTAATCTTTTCAATTAATGAATTTATAAAGAAAGATTAAATATTTTGTGATCCAGTCTATACAAACTCATTGTTTAGGATACCGTCACTCACATGCCTCCACGTGAACGACCTGAACCAAATAATTTGTAACAAGGGTAAGGAACTTCGTGTCGCGACTACTCCAGAGGAAGAGTTCCCCAGCAGGAAAACAACTTTCACTTTCAAAGAGCACTTTTTTCGTTGATCATTCCTCATTCCCTTTCGTGTGAATTCCAGAACTTGGATGTTCTCCGCTGTGTCGAAGGCCACCGAACACTAAAAACCAACTTATATATATTGTGATATCCCACATTGGTTGGGGAGAAAAACGAAAAACCTCTCCCTAGCAGACGCGTGATGGGAAAGCCTAAAAGAGAAAACCCAAAACTTTGAGGGGAAGCCTGGAAGGAAAAGCCCAAAGAGGACAATATCTGGATGAACACCGGTTCCGCTATGTAACTCTGAAAGACGCCCAAAGAAGACAATATATGGATGAGCACTAGTTCTGCTATGTAACTCTGAAGGACGCGTTTTAAAGCCTTGAGACAATATATCTGGATGAGCACCGGTTTTGTTGTGTAACTCTGAAAGACGCGTTTTAAAGCTTTGAGACAATATATCTGTATGGGCACCTGTTTCGCTGTATAACTCTAAAAGACGCGTTTTAAAGCGTTGAGAAAATTTAACTGGAGTATCCACCTAATTGAGTTTGAGTTCAAATAAATAAAAATAAACATATAGATATGAACTTACACATTTAATTTAAAACAAGAAATTAGAAATAACCGTCTTTTAACATGAAATAACGGATAATAAAATTTAATGCATACTAGCCCTATCTTGACTTCCATGACCATTCTAGCATTCACCGTTCTCTATGCAGGGGTTCGCGTACTTCTTCAGACACGGTTCACGTACACACATATAGACCCACTAGGCGGGCTTGTATACTTACCCTTGAGCCTAACTTGGTCGGGCACAATGCATTACACGTCACTGGACGACTCATAAAAGGAAAAGTCTGCATGATATCATGGTAGACATAAATATCGAAAGTATGAATCGGTGCTAACATAACATAACATAACGAGAAGTATCTCGATGCACATGACATATATACATGCATGAGGTCCCCATGATTTTCATTCTTAGCATAACATTAACATCCTTCCCTTTTTCCTTTCATCTATGACATTCTACATATATGCATCATGTATACATGACAATCATCTACATGGCAATACATAACATGATGTACATAGTAATTCATTTCATTTACAACATGACGTAATGGATATCACATGCATACATATCATAGCATCATATGTTATTACATAGAATACATACACATAACACAAACAACATGGTGCATGCACGAGTCCCAAAACATGCACCATCATACATCATTTAGCTACCTAACCCAAACTGTAAGGTCAATTAACTAATCCGTGTCACCAACTTATCCTTAATAAAAGTTTGATTTTGTCCTTCAAAATCCAAGTCAACCTCTATCATCCTTAACATAAATTTCAAGTTCAAACTTCGACCCTATTGCTCCAAAATTTTACAATGGTCCACGTGTTAGATTTCATGCGTATGTATGTAGGTATATATATATATATATATATATATTTATTTATTTTTTTTTCTATTTACAGTTTTTTTTAATAGATTCTTATTTATTTA